GAAATCTGGTGACTGTGGAGGCCATTTGAGTACAGTGAACTCATTGTCACGTTCAAGAAACTATAGATCATTTGCGCTTTATGACATGGAGCATTACACTGCTGGAGTTAGCGATCAGAAGATGGGTACACTGTGGTCATAAAGGGATGGACATGGTCAGCAACAATACTCAGATAGGCTGTGGCGTTGACACGATGCTCAATTTATAATAATGGGCCTAAAGTGCCAAGAAAATCTCCCCCACACCATTACACCTCCACCACCAGCCTAAACTGTTGATACAATGCAGGATGGATCCATGCTTTCATGCTGTTGAAGCCAAATTCTGACCCGACCATCCGAATGTGGCAGCAGAAATAGAGACTCATCAGAGCAGGCAACGTTTCTCCAATGTTCTGTTCTCCAGTTTTGGTGAGTCTGTGTGAATTGTAGCCTCAGTTTCCTGTTTTTAGCTGACAGGAGTGGCACCCGGTGTGGTCTTTTGCTGCTGTAGCCCATCTGCCTCAAGATTGGACGTGTTGTGTGTTCAGAGATGCTCTTCTGCAGACCTCGGTTGTAACGAGTGCTTATTTGAGTTACTGTTGCCTTTCTATCAGCTGGATCCAGTCTGGCCATTCTCCTCTGACTTCTGGCATCAACAAGACATTTGCGCCCACAGAACTGCTGCTTACTGGATATTTTCTCTTTTCAGACCATTCTCTGTAAATCCTAGAGATGGTTGTGCGTGAAAATCAGAGTAGATCAGCAGTTTCTGAAATACTCAGACCAGCCTGGCACCAACAACCATGCCACATTTAAAGTCACTTAAATCAGCTTTCTTCCTCATTCTGATGCTCAGTTTGAACTGCAGCAGATCGTCTTGACCATGTCTATAGTACATGCCTAAATGCATCGAGTTTCTGCCATGTGATTGGCTGATTGGAAATCTGCGTTAACGAGCAGTTGGACAGGTGTACCTAATAAAGTGGCCGCTGAGTGAATGTGTGTGTGTGGTCATATATGTATATATACACATGCATACATAAATATACATACAAATGTGTGTTTGTATACATTTAATTGTTTTGTTTAGTTATGTAATGTGTAATAATGTTTCACTAGAGTTCAGTGTTACAGACATATTTATGTCAAAACTAAACAACTTACTTATAGTGACCTTTAAAAATCTATAAAATAATAACTGATTATGCCAAAAACATAACATTTTGTGTGATTAATATTTATTTTTTCTGACACTAGGAAAAACCTAGTGGTTTGACAGATGGTGGCAAATAATAAGGATGAACAAATGCATATTTTGATGCTCTATTATGGCAATTCTTAAATGTTTTTCAACATGCCATCAAATAATTCATTGTAATAAAAATAAAGGACAATATATTGGTATATAAACTATTATATATAGTATTTATATAATATATACAATGATGTATATATATACAATTGGTATAAAAACTATTGTTACACTGAAGTACATTTCATAATCGTAATTTTCAAACATTAGCACTTGCACTTGTATATTGTTCTTTAAAATAACCTAATATTTCTGGGAAACAAAACTAGATATACAATTTATCACTCTTAAAGCATTTAGATGTATTTCACAGATGAAATTCTAATATTTATAGTTGTTACATATGTAATATTTTATTCTGTGTTAATTCTTTATTTGTTTGTTCTTCTAAATAGGCTTCTAAATTCATTATATTATGAAATATTGCTGAACGCCTGAATAATGACGGGTCCCTATGTATCATATATAACCACTAGGTGGGGGTTGTGTGCAACAGTTGTTTTTTTATTCAGAGTTTTGTCTGTACCATGTCTTTTTGACTAGATTATTATAAACGCACAATTAAGTAGAAATATTAAATTAATTAATGACATAGAGATAATTTGTTATAATTGTTTGTCACCAATGTTATGTTTGACGTAAAAAAAAAAAGAAACTACAAACCCCATAATTCCGTGCTGCGTGTAGTGGGCGTGGCTCTGAGTCTCAGTCCAGCAGCAGCAGTAAGTGAACAGGTGAACATGAGTGTTAAGTCGCGTCTTCTGACAGCACACGGTTTCTCATGGATGGAGTGGAATATCTCTAGTGAAGTTTGATGATGTTTTAATAGTTTTTAAGCGATGGGGATGTCTACTTTTCTTGGAGTGTCGGACAGTTTTCACCTCAGACGTTTTTGCTGTTTCTAAAGTCAACTGACGTTAACTGACGATCTACACCATCTGTTTATTAGCATTTGAAGCTCCTTTCTGTATTATTTAAAATGGCTTTCTCAAAATTTGGAAAGATGTTCCGACTTCCTACAATCGAAATCAAGAAGAAAACCAAACAATACAATCACCTTCAACGGGATGTAAACCCAAACGACATGTGGGAAATCATCGGGGAACTGGGCGACGGCGCTTTCGGGAAAGTTTATAAGGTGAGTGCGGATGTTAATAAACCTGTTAGACTGGCAGCTGAACCAAATTACAACGTCTACTATGCTGAAGGTTTAGCTTATGAATATTGATTAGGTCATGTTGACGTAGCATCGTAGTTGTAACGAATGTATTCTTTAGTATAATGAATATTCATTAGCGGAATTCGCTGATTAGCCAGCTGAGTAACTTTACAGCACCCGCGAACTAGTAGCGTTCTTTCAGCCAATCGTTTTGGTCTGCTTGGTAAACGTCATTTTTTTGTAATGAATATTCATAGACAAAACCTTCGTTGTACTACCAAGGTTTTAAAAAGTTATTATAATTTGCCACACGTGTTTATTAATGTCATAATTTACACTAAAACATGATGTTCACTGATTTAATAAGTTGTACTTCACGTTTTTACAGACCAAAACACTATACAATTAATTTGTATCAATGTTTTCTGTCATTACTGTTGGGTTATGTATGACACTTTAATAGCATTTACAAATGAATACATTTGTAGTTATTACTTTGAATTGTGAAAATAAACTTATGAGATAGTCGAGATATACTATTTTTGACTTGACTGAATGACTTAAAGGGATAGTTCACCCAAAACTGAGCTTTCTGTCATTCTTTTCTGATATCTTTCTGTCTACTATCATTTTAAATGTTGCTCGGTATTTAATGTACTGACTTGCTTTGTAATACCAAGTAAAATTCAATAGGGTAAAGTTGGTTGTATATTTATGCTTTCAGACTTTTACCTTAGTTTAACACGAGAAAATAATTGTTTTCAAATTTTAAATCGCAAAATCATATTAGCAGACAATGGGTATCAAAGTACAATGTTGTTCACAGTCAATTAAATAGAGCTATTGTTGTTTTGAAGTCATACTTGCATGCGATTTCAGACCAAATATTCAAAGTAGTGTGGTAAACAATATAGTGACTGCATCACAAGTCACTTTGTGCAATTTAAAATTCTGCTTTAGTATTTTATTAATCTTTAAATTTCCAAAAAGTCCAAATAAACTTTATCTCAATTAGAAAATCTAATAATAATAATAATAATAATAATATTGATATTAATAAAAAAGTGTTACTATAACTATCGAATCCGCCTTGTTCACCAATCAAATGTACGATGATAACTCAAGCACTGCTCAGTTAACGCAGTGGTGTAAAGTAACAAATTACAAATACTCATGACTGTAATTGAGTAGTTTTTCTCAGGAATCAGTGCTTTCGACAGGATTAAAATATACTTGCGGTGGTAGCCAGATGGAAACACGCCATTCACCCACATCACATAAGTGGTTAACTATATGTTTCAAACAAAACAATTAAATTTTTAACAATACCTAAATTTATTATGACACTGTACCACACAGTTTCTTTTCAATGGGCTAAAGTAAAATAAAATAAATTACTGTTGAAATAAAAAAAGAAATTCTCTTTCATGCTATTCCAGGCTGATCTCAAGAGAAAACGTAAGTATTTTACGTTTTGCCAGTTTAGTGGCTAATTCGTACAAATTCGAGTTCAGTCGTACAAAACTGTACGATTTTTAAAATGGAGGCGTGGCACCTAACCCCACCCCTAAACCCAACTGTCATTAGGGATGAGCAAATCGAACTAAATTGTACAAATTAGATCGTACGAATGCATACGAATTAGCCACTAGATCAAAAATTTACGAATTGCCGTAAGATTGTGTTGGTTATTCAGGAGCCACGTGCACACAATGACAGGTAAAATCCGCTTCTTCCTCTTAAAGTTCAAAGCAAACTTGAACACCAAAGCATTTTGGATATGTAAATAACACAGCCTATGTAATATTTTAACATCATCAAATGAATAAAATAACCAGCAATTGAGAAATAAGTGACAGAAAAAGTAATAAAAGCAGACAAAATCTCCAAAAATTATCGTAGATACACGATTAAATCTTGCGTTGATGCGTTGATCAACCATTACTAATGGTGTACAAATATATTGCAGTCAGTTTAGGCTAGTCATTTCCTCCTCTACTAGTATATAGTAAAGTTTTTCTGAGTTGTTTAGATTTAAAAAATTAATTATTTAATTTTTCTCTCTCTCTCGTGACCGTGCGCGTTCAATCAGCTGCGAAAGTAGGTTTATAAGTAAAAAGGTAATGGAAAACTGCATACGAGCTTTAGAAAGCGAAAGCAAAAGCGAAAGCCAATTCCCGGACATGTTAGGAGATTTAGAAACCCGGGTTGGATGATTTTATTTAAGTCCCAAAAGGCACGTTTCTGTGGGTCTGCAGAGCACAAGGGACTGTCTGTGGGAGTGTTGACAGTGTTGTGTTGTGCACAGAAAGAAATAGGGTAAACAAGATAAGATTTTCCGCTACTTAATCGATTGCAGATCGCAGAAAAGGTGTCAAAGGATGTTAATAATAGTAAAACATAGTGTCATTAAATATAATTGGGCGGCCTTTAATATACCTGGTAGGCCGGCCTAAGTAAAGTCCATGGCTGTGTCCGAAACCGCCAACTACTCAGTAAGTACTGCATTTGAATCTAAACGAACTACTCCGTCATAAGAAAAGTACATTCTATACAGTATGAATTTGAAAAGTATGAATGGAATTGGCACGTACTATATCCGCTATTTTGTCATGGTCACATGACCTACCTGCGTCAGTTGCGTCGCTTCCCTCCCATTCATGAATTCTCCCATGGGGCATCATGGGATGCGCACTCCATAATCTGGCTGGAAGTAGTAAGTCATCCGGGTACTTCTTGCAGACTGATTTTCGAATTCTATGAATTCGGTAATACTACTCGGCTCACATACTGATTTTAGCGTTCTATATAGTATGGAAGTATGCGGTTTCAGACACAGCTTATGTGTGGGAAGCACTGGGAATTGTAGTTCACTAAGTGTTTTACTTTCACTTGAGTGCATTTTTAGTGCAGTATCTGAACTTTTACGCCACTATTTTCCTTTTTATTTTACTTTAGTAGAGTAATCTGTTCTGTGATTGCAATCCAATCAAATCGCACAATAAAAGTCGCATTATACAGCACAACCTCATGACAAAATCGTTGCACGCAATGACTTGAGAGACTGTTTAAGCTGCATGTCAGTGATGAGAAGATGGCGGATGTTTACTGCATGATGACTCAAATCACCAAATGACCTTAAGCAATCACTAAATGTCCTACAGAATGTTACATTTTCACACAAACAGCTTGGACAAATTGACTCATTAACCTCTCCCAGCGTAATACTCACTACTCTTGAAGTACTTTTGAAAGGGCTACTTTTTACTCATACTTTGAGTAATATTTACAACAGATACTTTTTCTCTACTTACACTACACTACACTTTTAGACAAGTAATGGTGGTTGAGTATGATTTTTCAGTACTCTTTCCACCACTGGGTAAACGGTGCTTATTTGTCCTCTGAGAGACACTGACAGGTCACAATCGTTCAGCCTGGGGCCGCTCAGAGTCGAGTGTAGGAAGATGCTGGAATGTGCTGCAGTTTCGGTAGGCGGAGAGGAACCCTCGTGTAGAAATGCTGAATTTGTCTTTTGTCTCCAGAGAGTGTTGTTTCGAAAGCCCTGTGACATCCAGGGTGGCCCTCCGTAACCCTCTTACCCTTGGAGACCAGGTGGTTAACTGGGGTTAAATACAATCTCAACAACAACTCGGTGGCGTAATCCAGTTAATCACTAGGGTTTACCCATTTTTCAGAAAGAAGAAATAAAAAAAATCTATCTATCTATCTATCTATCTATCTATCTATCTATCTATCTATCTATCTATCTATCTATCTATCAATCTATCAATCTATCAATCTATCTATCTATCTATCTATCTATCTATCTATCTATCTATCTACTATCTATCTATCTATCTATCTATCTATCTATCTATCTATCTATCTATAGACTTTGGTAATTTTATCCCTGATTTTATTTATTTATTTATTTATTTATTTATTTATTTATTCATTATTATCTGTCTGTCTGTCCATACACAAACACACACACACAAACACACACACACAAACACACACACACACACACACACACACACACACACACACACACACACACACACACACACACACACAAATATATTTTCAATGATGATGCACACAAATGTATCTAATATATATTAAATTGCATTATTTATTTGTATTATTTGTAATATATCCATATTTTAATAATACATTTTATTTAAAGCAAATTTCAAGAAACCCAAGATCACTGTACAACATACTGTACAGTATATATTCAATTCAATAATTTAAAATTGTACAACATATACAGAATTCAATCATTTAAAAATAAACCGACAGTATAAAAATAGAGAAGATAAAATACAGACATGATACAGAATGTAGTATGCGT